GAAGGGAGGAAGGGAGGAAGAGAAAAAGTGGAGCCAACAGGGATCTGAGGTAAGTTTATACTTAGGGAGCCTCCCAAAGTATAAACTGTGAGAGCCTCTCAAAGTTTATACTTTTGGAGGTCAAGAGATTGAGACCATCCTGGCCAACATGATGAAACCCCTGTCTCTACTAAAAATACAAAAATTAGCTGGGCGTGGTAGTGCGTGCCTGTAATCCCAACTACTCGGGAAACTGAGGCAGGAAAATCGCTTGAACCCCGGGGGCGAAGGTTGCAGTGAGCGGAGATCACACCTCTGCACTCCAGCTTGGGCGGCTACGCGAGACTCTGTCTTAAAACAAACAAACAAACAAAAAGAATAAAACAAAAACCTAGCCTCAGCCAAGACCTAGCCCAGATAGTAAATTAGCAGGGCTGGGAGTTTCTGTCATATCAGCAGTCAGATGTCTTAAAACCAGAATCTACCCAGAGTATATACATCTTGTATCTTTGCCTTAACCTTCTTTTCAGTTTATGCTATAAAAGAAAAAGAATCCCAGCACTCTGGGAGGCTGAGGTGGGAGGATTGCTTGAGCCCAGGAGTTTGAGGCTGCAGTGAGCCGTGATAGCACCACTGCACTCCAGTCTGGGTGATGGAGGGAGACCCTGTCTCCAAAAAACTAAAGAAAAACCTGTCACACTACTGACCAATAATAGAGGCTCCCAAAGCGTAAACTGGCCTGAGAGCCCTGTTTGTTCTTCCTGCTACCCTGTCCACTCTGCCCCCACCCCGTTCCGAGACTGGACTGTGCCATGAAGGAAAACCTCGGTTACAGCCTCCCCCACCCCATCAACCACGCTGCTGAGGACACGGGAAAGAATGAGAAGCCAGAGGGAGGCGGCTGCTTGCAGGAGGTTTAGCGTAAAGGAGATAGGAATGGTAATGGGAAATTGAAGATAGCAGTTAAAAAGAGCCGTCATTCAAGAATGACACCCCTGATGCCACCTGCGCTGCCCCCCACCTGACAGAAATGAACCGCGGCAGCTGTTACAGTGGATATGAAAAGACAATTCACATTTTCAGAAGGAGTGGCCTTCTATGACGTAATCTGGTCATAATGAGGTTGCAGGGAAGAGACAAGAAGTTTCCAGTAATGATCACAAGGATAGTATTTCCTGTTGGAGTGATTTTTTGGTTTGTTTTTATGAACATCCTGCATTAGTTTGCAAAGCATTTTACATTTGAGGAAACCCAAAACTCATTTTGCCTGAAGAGTTATATTCATTCATCATTACACCTATAAAATTACAAATGTAAATATGTGTCTGCTTTACACGCTTCACAAAATATTGTGTGTCTAGACCTGATTGTCGTAGGCTTGTTCTCTCAGAATTAGGAAGCCAAAAAAATAAGAAAAAAAAAAAAAAAACTGGTGAAAGTCAGATGGTTCATAGTCTTTTTGAAAAACCAGTAGCCTGGCCGGGCGCGGTGGCTCAAGCCTGTAATCCCAGCACTTTGGGAGGCCGAGGCGGGCGGATCACGAGGTCAGGAGATCGAGACCATCCTGGCTAACACGGTGAAACCCCGTCTCTACTAAAAATACAAAAAAACTAGCCGGGCGCGGTGGCGGGCGCCTGTAGTCCCAACTACTCGGGAGGCTGAGGCAGGAGAATGGCGTGAACCCGGGAGGCGGAGCTTGCAGTGAGCTGAGATCCGGCCCCTGCACTCCAGCCTGGGCGACAGAGCGAGACTCCGTCTCAAAAAAAAAAAAAAAAAAAAAGAAAAAGAAAAACCAGTAGCCATGTGCATTTTACTTAAAATAACTTTCCTTTTACCTCACCGAAGTACACCATGGTAGGTTATGTCTTTTCCTCTCTCTCTCTGCCTCTCTCCTCCCCCGTCTCCCTACACACAACTTTTAGATTCAAGGGGTACACGTATAGGTTTGTTACAGTGGCATATTGTGTGATGCTGAGGTTTGGGGTACAGTTGATCCCATCACCCAGGTAGTGAGCATAGTACCTAATGGTTAGCTTTTCAGGCCCTGTCCCCCCGCCCTTCCTCACCCCGTTTGGAGTTCCCGGTGTTTATTGTTCCTATCTTTGTGTCTCTATGTACTCGCTATTAAGCTCCCATTTATAAATGAGAAAGCATGGTAAGGTTTTCTGTTCCTGCATTGGTCATTTAGAATGATGTCCTCCACCAGGCACGGTGGCTCACATCTTTATCCCAGCACTTTGGGAGGCCGAGGCGGGTAGATCATGAGGTCAGGAGATGGAGACTATCCTGGCTAACTTGGTGAAACCCCGTCTCTACTTAAAAATACACAAAAATGGCCGGGCGCGGTGGCTCAAGCCTGTAATCCCAGCACTTTGGGAGGCCGAGACGGGCGGATCACGAGGTCAGGAGATCGAGACCATCCTGGCTAACACGGTAAAACCCCGTCTCCACTAAAAAAAAAAAAAAAAACTAGCCGGGCGAGGTGGCGGGCGCCTGTAGTCCCAGCTACTCGGGAGGCTGAGGCAGGAGAATGGCGTAAACCCGGGAGGCGGAGCTTGAAGTGAGCTGAGATCGGGCCACTGCACTCCAGCCTGGGCGACAGAGCAAGACTCCGTCTCAAAAAAAAAAAAAACAATAATAATGGCCTCCAGCAGTGTCCATCCTGTTGCAGAGGATATGGTTTCCTTCTTTTTTATGGCTGTGTAGTATTCCATAGTGTGTATCTACCTTATTTTCTTTATCCATTCCACCATCGATGGGCCTCTAGGTTAATTCCATATTTTTGCTATTGTGAATAATGTGATGAATATACAAATGCATGTCTCTTTTTGGTAGAATTTTCCTTTGAGTACGTACCGAGTAATAAGATTGCTAGGTTGAATGGTAACTCTGTTTGAGGTTCTTTGAGAAATCTCTAAACTGCTTCCCACAGTGGCTGAACTAATTTACACTCCCAATAGTGTATAAGTGTTCCCTTTGCTCCACAGCCTCGCCAGCAGCTGTTATTTTTTGACTTTCTTTTTTTTTTTTTGAGACGGAGTCTCGCTCTGTCCCCCAGGCTGGAGTGCAGTGGCCAGATCTCAGCTCACTGCAAGCTCCGCCTCCCAGGTTTACGCCATTCTCCTGCCTCAGGCTCTTGAGTACTGGACTACAGGCAGCCGCCACCGCGCCCGGCTAATTTTTTGTATTTTTAGTAGAGATGGGGTTTCACCGTGATCTCGATCTCCTGACCTCGTGATCCGCCCGCCTCGGCCTCCCAAAGTGCTGGGATTACAGGCGTGAGCCACCGCACCCGGCATTTTTTGACTTTTTAATAGTAGCCATTCTGACTGGTATGAGATGGTATAGTATCTCAATGAAGTTTAGATTTGCATTTCTCTAGTGGTTAGTGATGATCAGAATTGTTTCTGTGTTTGTTGGCCACTTGTATATCCTCTTTTGAGAAGTGCCTGTTCATGCTCTTTACTCATTTGTTAATGGGTTTTTTGTGGTTTTTTTTTTTTTTTTTTTTTTGCTTGTTGATTTAAGTTTTCTTTATCAATTCTGGATATTAGATACACAGTTTGCAAATATTTTCTCTCATTCTGAAAGTTGTCTGTTGACTCCACTGATAGTTTCTTTTGCTGTGCAGAAGCTCTTTAGTTTAATTAGATCCCACTTGTCAATTTTTGGTTTTATTGCAGTTGCTTTTGGGGACTTAGCCAAAAATTCTTTGGCAAGGCCAATGTCAAGAATGGTATTTCCTAGGTTTTATTCTAGAATTTTTATATTTTGAGGTCTTCCATTTAAATCTTCAGTTAATTTTTAGGTCGGGTGTGGTGGCTCACACCTGTAATCCCAGCACTTTGGGAGGCCGAGGCGGATGGATCACAAGGTCAGGAGATCGAGACCATCCTGGCTAACACAGTGAAACCCTATCTGTACTAAAAATACAAGAAATTAGCTGGGACCGGGCACAGTGACTCACGCCTGCAATCCCAACACTTTGGGAGTCCAAGGTGGGCAGATCACGAGGTCAGGAGATCGAGACCATCCTGGCTAACCTGGTGAAACCCCCATCTCTACTAAAAATACAAAAAAAATTAGCCAGGCTTTGTGGCATAGCAGGAGAATGGCGTGAACCTGGGAGGTAGAGCTTGCAGTGCGCTGAGATCGCGCCAATGCACTCCAGCCTGGGGGACAGAGCGAGACTCCATCTCAAAAAAATAAAAGAAAGAAAATATTTTTGTATAGCTATATAATTTGTGTGGCTTTTTGTTTGTTTGAGACAGGGTCTCACTGTCACCCAGACTGGAGGGCAGTGGCGCATCACAGCTCACTGTAGCCTTGACCTCTTGAGCTCCAGAGACGCTCCCACCTCACCCAGGAGGACGTCAGTCCTCCAGGCAGACATCAGGCCCCAGGTGGACCCTGGACTCAAGGTGTACACCAGGCCCCACATTGACAACCAGGCCCCAGATGAACAATGAGGTCCTAGTTGGACAGCAGGCCCATGTTGAACACCACACTGTGGACATTTGGCCGCGGGCAGACACCACGCCTTAGGTAGATACATAGGCTCCAGGTGGGCATTAGACCCAAGGTACATGGCCAGTCCCCAGGTGATCACCAGACCCCAGGTGGACACAAGGCCTTAGGTGAACAACAAGACCCAGTAGGCCATCAGGCCCCAGCTGGATACAGTCACCAGGAGAACACAAGGCCCCAAGAGGGACATAGGCCCAAGGCAGACATCAGGCCCTAGGTGGACATCAGGCCTGAGGAGGACATCCAGCCCCCGGTGAACATCAGGCACAGGTGTCCAAGCAGGCCCTGGATGGACATAATGGTGTCTAGGTAAGGAGGTGTCCTGGGGGGAGGGTGAGCAGTCAGCAGCCCAGTGGAGTCCTGAGTAGGTCTTATGGAAGGAAGGGGCTGAGGGGACAGAACCTTAAAGAAGCGACCTCACTTCCTTAATGACAGACCTGAACAGAACTTAGAACTCTGGTAACCAGGCGCCCAGATCCTAGAGTCAGCCCAGTAACCAGCTCATTTGGTGGGAGACGCTCGAGAGAGCAAGATGTTCTCGTGTTGCTTCCCCACTTCGAGAGGCTGCTGCTTCAGGAATGGAGGGAGTGAGAGCTTTTTCCGGCGATGCCGAAGAAGGCTCATCCCTCACCCCAGACGCCTGTGGCCCTTTGTAAGAAGGCGCACCCGGGTACCACAGGGCAGCGCAGGGCAGGCCCTAGTGGGCCAGGCCACACCAGAGATCCCATCGGGGCTGCATCTGCACACTGCCCTCCTCCAGGAGGAGATTCGGGAGCCCATGGAGGCAGAGGCACATGGTGAGGTCGCCTGCAGTCTGGAAGATTTTGCGGGGTCGGTGTTTAGGGGCTGGAACTCCTTTAAATTCAGGGAGGTTGTTTCTGTGTTTGGAAATTGCGGTGGAAAGTGACTGACGCTGGTGACCCTTTCTCCTTTTTCAGCTCTTACTCCATATGCAGAAATAGAAGCATTTCCAGCACCAGCTGTTGAGCCAGAGCCAGCATGGGAAGAGCCCCCTCCAGAGACAGCGCTGGAGGTGGAGGGAGCTCCAGCCAAGGACCAACCCAAGGAGGAGCTGCCTGAAATCACGGCACCTACTGTAGTCACTGACCTTAGCCCTGAAGTTGAACATGTGGCAAGAGAGAGAGGCGGCAGGGAGGGGGTGACCAGCACGGCCCCAGCCAGGAGCTCCCATGCTGCCCCTAGTCCTGGGCACGGTGGCAACCATGGAGGTAGAGAGCCTGGGTTTGGAGAGAGGCTTGTGTCATTCATTAGAGCCGCAGTCCTGCTGCTGCAGGGCCTGTTTATTCTCCTGCTGCTGGTGGGGTCTATCTGGGTGCAGGAGGTGCTGGAGAGCATGAAGAGGAGGCTGGGAGGAAGAATTCCAGCAGTTCCTCCTGCACTCAGAGGCGGCCTCCTCCTCCGGGCACGGATGTCTGCCTGCAACTGGGCATCCAGGCTGTTTGCCCCTGAAGTGCTGCCCAGGATGGGCTCTTAAAAGGCCGGCAGGGGGTGAGGGGACCAGGAGGCTCCAAAGGGTAGAGCAAGCAAAGTTTTAAAGACTGTCTTTGTGCCCCAGGATCTCCGTGCCACCACCTGCCCTAGCATTTATTAATACTATTAGAATTATAAGTTGATGGAACTACATTTCAATAAAGTTTGATTCATGAAACTTCGTGCCTTTTTGAACTCCCTCATGTTAGATGGTGCTTTTGAGGCGATCCTGAAAATCTTTGATAGTTGTGTCTTTTGTTGTGGTTGTTCGTGTGATTGAATTACCATCGAGTCAACAGTTACTGGAAAACTTTCAGGTCTGGCTTTTAGAAGGCCTTGACCGGCCGGACACAATCGCTCACGCCTGTAATCCCAGCACTTTGGGAGGCGGAGGTGGGTGGATCACAAGGTCACAAGATCGAGACCATCCTGGCTAACATTGTGAAACCCCATCTCTACTAAAAATACAAAAAAAAAAAAAATTACTGGCATGGTGGCAGACTGTATCCAGTACTCGGAGCTGAGCAGAGAAATGCGTGAATCCGGGAGGCAGAGCGTGCAGTGAGCCGAGATTGTGCCACTGCACTCCGGCCTGGGCGACAGAGCAAGAGACAGTCTCAAAAAAAAAAGACCTTGACCTACTCTTGCCTGTTTTGACTCTCTGGTTTCTTGTGGAAAGAGGGGTGATGTAGGCTCATGTCTCCGGCAGATCAATCACCTTTTGCCATGAAGGATTTGACATCACAGTTTCCAAGAATTATGTATGCAAGTTGACACGGTACTTTAGCTAATCTGGGTATCAAAACAGAATGCCATAGACTAGGTGGCATAGGAAATTGATTTCTCACAGTTCTGGAGATGGTAAAATCCAAGGTCAAATGGTCATCAGATTCCTTGTCCGCAGAGGGCTGGCTTCCTGGTTCATAGACAGCCATCTTTTACAGTGTCCTTACATGACAGAAGGGATGAGGGAGCTCTCTGCAGTCCTTTTGATAAGGGCGCCAATTCCATTCATGAGGTCCCTGCCTTCATGAACTTAATCACCTCCCAAGGTCCCACCTCCAAATTCCATCACATAGAATTAGACTTCAGCACATGAATTGGAGGAGGACCATAACATTTGCTTTACAGAATCAGGTCTCCCCGAGTCATATGCACTCACAGGAAATCTATAATCTTCTATTAAGTATTTGCTGGTCCCCTCTGGGTTTGGGGAATCTTTTTTCTTTAAGAAAAATGATCTTTCATGTGATCCATGGTTTATTCATAGAAAAGCACTGTGAGTTCACCCACTTGCTAAAAAGAAGGGCAATTGTGATACAAAAATGAGAGTGACTCCTCCCTCTCTCTCTCTGTCTCTCTTTTTAGCCAGCCCACTGGGCTGAGACGTTGTAAGGGCCCTTGGCTGGGCAGTAGGACTTGAGTAGTCACAAACGGCAAATACGACTTGGTCAGCTTGCAGTAGAAAAGGGTGACAGTTTGTCAACCAAAGAAAAAGTAAAGCAGATGGAGAAGTTCTTAGTTCACATTCTAGCTATACTAACCCTTCCCTATCAAACCCCACCCCCAGCTCAGGAACTAGGACATAAAAGAGTAAACACCAAGGCACTGGTAACCAACTGACTCTTCTGAATGCCCTTGCTATCTCCTACAACAATTCCAGGGCGAGCGGAGGGGTCAGGAAGGTGGCAGGAACATGATGATTCCCTGAGGAGGTCAGCCAGAGCTAAGACAGGGCTGCTGACTAGGGCTAGAAATTAGGAAGGGAGAGGCTCAGTGCAGACCAGCCCTAGCCTCCAAGTCAGCAAGCAATGAGACTGTGACAAAAGCAGGCAGAGGAAATTTGAGGTATAAAGGCAGGGGAAGGGACGGGAGCGGTGGCTCAGGCCTGTAATCCCAGCACTTTGGGAGGCTGAGGTGGGTGGATCACGAGGTCAGGAGATGGAGACCATCCTGGCTAACACGGTGAAACCCCATCTCTACTAAAAATACAAAAAATTATCCGGGCATGGTGGTGGGCACCTGTAGTCCCAGCTACTCTGGAGGCTGAGGCAGGAGAATGGCGTAAATCTGGGTGGCAGAGCTGGCAGTGAGCTGAGATTGCACCACTGCACTCCAGCCTGGGTGACAGAGTGAGACTGTATCTCAAAAAAAAAAAAAAAAAGAAAGAAAGAAAGAAAAAAAAAAAAAGAAAAGAAAGGCAGGGGAAGAAAGCAAGTACGGGGCGAGAAGAGAACTGTGCAGTGAAAGCAGCCAATCTGGTGGCAGAGGGAGACTGGTCCTTAGAAGCTTGTTTGGTGAGAGAGAATGAATACAGGAGGCACAGAGATGGGGAATAAACATTTAGCTGGTGAGAGAGATTTAAGACAAATGGGAAGAGAATGTGGGGAAAAGAAAGAGAGATCAGCCTGTTACTGTGTCTATATAGTGAAAGGACACAAAGATAGATGTGTACCCGCCCCCCACCCGCTACACCCTTGTTCTGCTCTCTAATCTTTGCACATACCAGAGATTTCGTAAGTTCTGTGAGTACCTGGTTTTCTGCACGTACCAGAGATTTTGTTTTGCACATACCAGAGATTTTGTAAGTTCTGAGGCAAGGTCACAAGACGTGTTTAAGTAAGATAAACTCTTGCTGCCATAAACCTGCTCTCCCGCCTCAAAGTTTGAACTAAAATATCAGAAATGGCAGGAACCAATGATAGTTAGCCAAATCGCCTTGTTCAAACACTAGCCAATCATATATCTGATTTGTATAATAACTCTATGCCCACTTTTCTTAGACTATATAACATTGTTCGGAGCTGAGTCGGGGAGCTCTCCTGCCCGTCTCGTTTCACGAGCGAGGGAGAGTTCCAGGTTCGAACCTGTAATAAAGATCCTTGCTGCTTAGCTTTGACTCTGGACTCTGGTGGTCTTCTTCGGGGAATAAACGGTCTGGGCATAACAAATGGGGGCTCGTCCGGGATTTCCCCCAAGCCCACCAGACCCCCAAGTCAACGGATCTTAATCTGTAGGTAAGCCGGCTTTGTCACTGTCTCTGTCTTTGTCTCTGTCTGTCTCCCTGAAATTTCGCGAAATCCGTAATCTGTAATCTGTATTGGTCTGTTCTGTAAGTGGCACGGTCTTGGCGGACGCGCTAGAAGACAGCCACTCGGGACTGGTGGGAGACGTTCCCCAGTGCCCATCTGGGGGCCTCCAACCTTGGTTGCCCCGTCTGACTCTGGTCGGAAGTCCGACACGCGCTCGCGAATGCTCATCATTATTACTGTCTGTCCGTTATTGTTAAGTGTTAAGTGTAAGCCCAAAACGAAACATAAAACCTTTTCTTCCCCTTCCAGGACCGGACCTGTCGGATACTCCCCTCTGCTTCACACTCATTTTCGTCCCCCCTTCTCTTTGTAGGAGCAGTCCAAAGATGGGCAACAACCAGAGCACACCGCTCTCACTCCTTGTTACCAATTTTAAGGATGTGAAGGCTCGGGGGTGTAACTTAAGCGTAGAACTAAAGAAGGGAAAGCTAGTTACTTTCTGCCGTTCGGAGTGGCCCTCTTTCGGCGTAGGGTGGCCCTCCAAAGGAACTTTCTGTCTCTCTATTATTACTAAGGTAAAAACTAAGATTTTCCTGCCAGGGCAGTCAGGACATCCTGACCAAATTCCTTATATTCTAGTGTGGCAGGATCTTGTGGAAAACCCACCACCCTGGATAACTCCATTCATCCCTGAGCCCTGCAAAGTCCTAGTAACGCGACCTACAAGACAAAAGACTCCCTCTGCTCCCTCGGCCCCTGTGCTGCCGGACAGCCAGGACCCCCTAATGTTAGAACCCACATTTCCCCCACCATATCCGCACCTTATCCCGCAGGACCCAGTCCCCCAGGGTGGTGCTTCCGTAGAGGGAAACCGAGAAGCGGAATCAGCCGAGAGTGAAAGTAACCTGGGGGGGCTGGCCGGCCGAACACGAGGCCGCGTACAGCGGGACCAAGCTTCCCAACTCCCTGACTCCACTGTAGCCCTGCCTCTCAGAGAAATAGGATCGCTCGATGATACCGGGCTCTCCCGTCTCATGTATTGGCCTTTTTCCACCAGTGATTTATACAATTGGAAGTCCCAAAATGCTCGGTTCTCAGATAATCCCAAAGATCTAACCTCGTTGTTAGACAGTGTCATGTTTACTCACCAGCCGACCTGGGATGACTGTCAGCAGCTCCTCCGAATCCTGTTCACAACGGAGGAGCGGGAAAGAATCCAAGTTGAGGCCAGAAAACTGGTTCCAGGAGATGACGGCCAGCCAACTGCAAATCCTGACCTCATTAATGCGGCTTTCCCTTTGACCCGGCCCAGATGGGACTACAACACGGCAGAAGGTAGGGGACGACTGCTCATTTATCGCCAGACTCTAATGGCGGGTCTCCGGGCTGCAGCTCGCAAGCCCACCAATTTGGCTAAAGTATATTCTGTGTTACAAGGTAAGACAGAAAGCCCCGCTGTGTATTTAGAGAGATTAATGGAAGCCTTCAGACAGTTTACCCCTATGGACCTGGAAGCACCGGAAAATCAGGCAGCGGTAGTAATGTCCTTTGTAAACCAGGCAACACCAGATATTAAAAGAAAACTCCAGAAATTAGAAGGTTTAGAGGGAAAGCAGATTCAGGACCTCCTTCAGATGGCCCAGCGAGTTTATAATAATAGGGATACTCCAGAAGAAAAACAGTTCAAGGCAACCAAAGAAATGACCAAAGTCTGAGTAGCAGCTTTCCCCAGGCAGGAAATGGCCAAAACAGAAAGCAGAAAAAGCAAGGCCCTAGGCAAGGATTAGAAAAAGATCAGTGTGCTTATTCCAAGGAACGTGGCCACTGGATTAAAGACTGCCCAAAGAAATGGAGACCAGCTAACCCTACCTCCGTACTCGTTACCCAGGACTCTGGCTAGGGAGGACGGGGTTCGGACCCCCTCCCCGAACCCAGGGTAACTTTGCAAGTGGAGGGGTCCCAGTTCGCTTCTTGGTCGATACTGGGGCGGAACGCTCAGTCCTAACCAAACCAATTGGAAAAATGTCTAAGAAAACATCCTGGGTGCACGGGGCCACAGGCATCAAAAAATACCCCTGGACAACCCAGAGGACTGTAGACTTAGGAACGGGAAAAGTCTCCCATTCCTTCCTAGTCATCCCAGAGA